TAGGTACTTAGGTGTTATACATTTTTGGTCATTGCTAATATTCATATTGAGTCTGAATTATTTTTATGTATTAATAAAATTTGTCTAGTATTATAGAGTTATACATACCTTATCGACAAACTATATACATTAATTCTTTTATAGGAATGATATATTTTGTATTGGAAATTAATAAATATACAAACTTAATGTTGTCATATAGGTAGAGCGACTTATTAGCAAAAATTATTTGAAATGTATACAGTAATGAGGTATTTTTTTAAAGGTTCAACAAACCAAGGTGGGCCCTTTTTAATATAATTGCTTATATTTAATTTATTTTGTAAATAAAATGTCATACTTTTATTATTATTATTTATTTTTTAATGCCCTTTTGGCCCTATATACATTACATGAAAACAAAAACATCGGTGCAGTTTTAATAACAAAACTCGTCTGTTTTGAATAACTGTGCTAAAACTATATAATATGTAGGTATGTTATATTATCCATATTCCTTACTGGTGGAATCCCATTAACGTCCAAATGAAATAATTTAAGCATACGTGTATGTATCTACGTCTGGAATTAATTTTATTTTCTTCAAATAGGTATCTCCATAAATACAATATTATATTAAAATACAACTTAACTAATCAACTCTATTAGGGTATAAAACCTTAAAAATATAAATAAATAAACAAACACATAACCTAACAAAATGCCAAAAGACGGATTTGACAGGGGTCCAAGGTCAATTTTATGCTTTTAAACATGGTGTAAGGATACAGGTGAAGCGGTGCGCAGGTTTTATGACGTCAACATCGGTATTGCCACGGCCGCCTATACACTGCCATGCCATTCCATGGCTTTGTTTACATTTTGTAATGATTGTCAAGAAGTTTAACTTTTATTTCCTAGTTCTATAATCATTATAAAACTGAAAATATATTTAGAAGAAAATAACAACTGCGTCAAATAACATCAAGTTATGCTCAATAATACTTACAAGAAAAGTCACTATAGGCAGATAGACGCTTCTACAAAAGTAATGCCAAATAAAAAAAATATTTTGTGCTTTTATACAAAAAAAGTAGGTAATTTATTTCGAATTTAGCCATGGTGTACGGAATTTAGCCTAATATAGTTTCTCTCTGGCGTAAAAAAGATAGTGTTCATCAGAAACTGAATTTTTCCATCACAAAACTTGGAAGAGGATGTTACATCTAGGATTTAAATCTTCATACCTAGACCTAGCATTGCTATCTGATAGATTGAGATCAAGATGATAGCCAAAACGTACCTAAACTTACAGAGACATTACCATTAAAAAGTTTTAGTGGCTCAGCAGGGATAAAAATTAGAACTAATAAAAGGCATACACAAATAACTAATTTAAATGTGAAACTGAAATATGTAGTGTCCCCTGTATAGTGGAAAAATGTTTAACCTCTTGCCAATTAATTAATAATAGGAAGTGCTGACTCATTAAATATGTTTAAAAAGCAAGAAACTCTTGCTCAAAAAGGTATACTACAAAGTGGATAAATTTTTCTGATTCCTTGAATTAAGTAGTTCATTTTAATTTATGTGTATACTCCTGTATATATATTTCTCGATTGTCATATTTGTACTTAGGTTGTGCATTTTTGTTTTTATATTATATTTTGTCTTGATATTAGAATTTAAAAAATTTCATTTATGAATAAGTATTTTGTTTGTTTCTTTTCCTTTGAATTTTAACTTATGTTATCTATCTTTGTTAATAAGAATGTAATTAATTCTTCAACAATAAATAATTTTGAATCGATTCAAGTAAACTTGTGTATAATGTTAACGAATGCTGAACAATAAAATTAAGGTGAAATGAATTTTATTATGATCAGTATATTTTTTTAGTCGCCAATTTTCTTAAATAATCAGTTTGGAAGTATGTGGTCACTTTTATAGATTATAAATGTAATAATTTAATTTTAAATTAGTCATCAAACATGGATATCAATAACTTGTATGCACAGATCAATTACTTTCTTGTATGGTTGGGTGCTGGTAAACCCCTTTATGTATTTAATAAATAGAAACACTTGGCAAAACATACTTTATTTTAATAAAAAGCACAGAGGTGTTATTTTAAATTGATTTATTTATGTTTAAAAATGGTTTATACATAATGTTTACTTCTTTATCTTGCTTAACACTTTATAATGTATATTTATTGTTCTAAATTTAAACAATTAGGCCAGTCTCTTAAGGTAGTAAACCCAGGTAAAGGATAATGAACAGTTCTTAAAATCTATAAGCCTTAGGACGAATGCTTCTTAGGGAGATTGTGGATGCTATGTCATCCGAACTTCAACGAATTCTTTTTTTATTTTCATTGTATAAAACATTTATTTGACCCGGAGTGAAACATTTACTTTACTTTCCTGAATTTCCACTTGAGAATTATTTTTCAACTGGCTAATTTCTTCTTTCAATGAAAGTATTTCTATATTTGATTTGTTGCATTTTTCAGTAATTTTGTTTAGTTCTTCACGAAGACTCTTAATAGTTTTCTCTAAAATAATAATTTAATTTTTAATATTGAAATAAAAGCAATTATCACTTCAAAGTTTAATATTTAATAAAAAAATTGTTTTGAAATGATTGTAATGTTAATTAGTATATGCTAAGTTGTGTAATTTTCTTTTCAAAGCCACATTTTTTGTTAATAAGGTAAATTTGTACATACGTTTCTAGTTCTGATGATACCAATATATTTTGAGTGTCTGTTTCCAAACTTTGATTCTCCTTGTCCTGGTCTGCAGTTGACAATTGTCTGGAATGCCCCGAAATATTAACAAAGCTCTCAATAAATGTTTGTCGATATCTTTTTGCCTGCCTTCTTAATCTATCTTCACTTTCTGCAGACAATTGTCTTTTTTTCAATGGGAGATTTTCAGTAGGAACTGCTGTTTGTTTTAAGTTTCTACCAGTCTTAGTGGAGTAGTTTAATAGCCTCTGTTGTAAGGGTATTTCAAAACTATCCTTCGAAAAATGTATGGAACAAATACAAGCTTAAAAAAGAAACAAGACATAAAATTAATCATATTCAAGTTAGGTTTGCAAAAATCATACCATTTTTCAAATTAATTGTATCTTTTCACCCTCAACCGTTGACCCAGGCTTTGGCTATATCTGTTTTCGGAAATCCAAAATACTTAATATTTGTTCTCTTTGTTTTTCTTAAATAGTTCTTGCTGCCAAACACTGCACAACCTGGCATTTTGTTAGTAACTACACACCCTAAAATATAGTAGATTTTAATGTATCAATAATATAATAATAATAATAATGATATATTAAAATAACAATAATGAATATAAACTATTTCTTTTATCTTTAAAATACAACAAAAATGTTACATAACCTAACTTTATATCAATTACACTACCAACTTAATTAGAAATTAATTTAATAATACGTACCAATAATTTCTAAACAGGCCTATTGATATATAGAAATGATATTAAATATTAAGATAAATATATCTATAAACTTCTAAACACTACCAGGAAAATATTAGAATAACTTTAAAAGTCGCTTTTTAACATTGGAGACATAGGCAAAACAAAAATATGCTCCGCAGGTGACGTCATGCGCAAGAATGACCAAATTTCGTACCGCTTACCGCTTCACCTGTATTCTTCCACCTAGGGATGGCAAAATAAAAAAATATATCGATATATCGAATCATATGATATATCGAAATAATATATCGATACATTCGATATATCGAATGAAAAATATCGATATTTTGAATATATCGATATATTTTTAATAAAATGTAGAAAAATACATTTTTTAACAGTTAAAATGCGATTTATTTAGGACCGATTCCACCGTTGTGTTAATCGAAGTTTAAAATGACATTTTTACATTAAACAATGTTATTTTAATCTCCGTTTAACACAACGGTGGAATCGGCCCTTATTCAGATAAGTAATGAAATATACAATACGTGTTTTTTTTAATATAGAGGCGAACCAAACTTACTCAAACTTAAATATGTACTTAAAAAAGTGTTTATGATACATGATTTGAAAGCTTTCTGAAAAGATAACTCAAAAATAATAAATATGACAATCCCTTGCCAGATATAAACTGTTTTGGCTTTCTGTTGCTGTCAAACCAGCTTTCGAAAATAGTCTAGAACAGAAGCTGCTACTGCAGAAAAATATTTTTATTAACCACTCTGGATACCGAAAATATAACTAAAAATAGGCAAATTCATACATCAGACCAAACCAGGGTTGCCAACTTTTCAAATTCCATTTACCGTACCGCGCAATTCAAATTACCGTACGTGGCCTTCCAATACCGTACACTTTTATTTTGTAGAAAACTATGTATAAATATCTTTTTGTCGAGCTTCTAAAATAAAAAAAGTCCTCATCATATTTTACTCAACCTCTGGTCCTTCTACCTAGCTTCTACAAAAAAAGGCCTTAGCTTATATTTTTGTAAAAACCCAGTCCTTTTAAAGGACATGTGCTGTAAAAAAAGATTAAATCTTCATTTAATAATTTAAACTTCGTTTAACACAACGGTGGAATCGGCCCTTACACACCTCAAAGTCTTTGCTAATTCTGTTCAAAATACCGTACGTTTATCGTACTTTTTATGTAAATACCGTACTTTTATGTACGGTAATGACTTTGGTAATTACCTTAAGGTTGGCAACCCTGGACCAAACATAAAAAATAACACAAAGAGCCTCGTGCACGCCTGACGTGTTAGCTGCCAACGTCAATTAACATCGCATGCGCACAAGCGCACGTTTTATGAATAATGTTTTCGATATATCGAAACGATTATATCGATATTTTTTCGATATATCGGTAATAAAATATCGATTAAAATATATCGATATATTTGTGAAATATATCGATATTTACACAACATCGATATATCGTTGCCATCCCTACTTCCACCATGCTTTTAAAGCAAACAAGCGAGTTTATTTTCGCTTTTATGCTTCTTCAAAAGCGCTGCAGCGGTTGACAGTTCATCGTCACCGCTTACTCAGCGTTACAACATGTTTGACGACGATGAACACGGCCAATACCTAAATTCATGAAAAGAAGAATGTCTGGTTTAAAATTTTTTTTATTATATATTTTTTGAGTTTTTAATTATTCTATTTAGGCTTCATTTTATGCATATAAAAATTAAATATTTTGTGTTACCTTTTCTTGTAAATTGCTTTGGTGCCTTCTTGATTAATTGATTAGGTATTATCTAAGTTAATTTACGAATCTGTCTCAACAAACAACACCTTAGAAGTATAAAATGTTTACTTTTATTATCTTAATAAACTTTGTATTATGTAAAATGTAATTTATCAAAACTCCAAATAATTTATTTAATATCATTATTTCAAAACTTTCTAATCAGCAATCATTTTTTCTATTAAAATATTATCAGTTGATTTTTATACCTATTTAATTTTCATTCATCATGATTCTAGATATTATGTTAGGAGTTGTGGCAGCTGGTTCATTAACAGCACTGTGTCTAGTGAGTTTCAAACTGTACATAAAGTTGACTACAGGAATATGTTACAGTCAAGTATGCTTGAGGGGAAAAACCACAATTGTAACTGGGGCCAACACAGGTATAAGCCAAATTTTCATATGAAAGATGAATATACCTAGCTACAATATATTATATTTTAAGGTATTGGTTACCAAACGGCTATCGACTTTGCCAAAAGAGGAGCCAAGGTCATATTGGCGTGTCGTGATGAAACTAAAGCTAGGGAAGCAGTCAGTGAGATAATTAAAGAAACAAACAACTCTAATGTTGTATACAAATTAGTAGATTTAACGAGTTTTACATCTGTGAGGAAGTTTGCCAATGATATAAATTCTAGTGAAGAAAGATTGGATATATTGGTAAATAATGCTGGAGCAGGGCGATTGGGCAATAAGTTAACTGAAGATGGAATTGCCATAGTGATGCAAACAAACTATTTTTCACATTTCTTACTAACAATGCTACTTGTAGGTAATTAATAAATTATAAAAATGTATGCCATATTATAAGGCCTAATTTGAAAAAGTATGATAAAAGCTTAGGTAATAAATACTTGTGCTACCACTGTATGATCCAATGGAGAGTAAAAAATCTTTTGAGACCTTTACCCAAAGCCTTGGTAAACAATTAGAATGTCATCTCCAAGTCATAAACCTGGGAAAATTGAATATCAAAGACCAATAGTCTTGTTCTTTATACTTAAAACTGAAATGTGTCAATAATAGGCAGTAGAAACATGTCAGAAATGAGTAACAGACTTGCCATATATTGAAAGAACTTTCATTATGCAAATAAATGTTTTTACATACAGATACTTAAGAGCTTTTGTCTCGGAAGTAAATTACCATACTGAAATATGATGTACCTGATTCAACTTTAGTGTGTTGCCATGTCTTTTTAGACTGTTATTCTCCATTTTTTAACAATCAATAAAATGCAACAATGTGATATAATATTGTATGTAGACATATTAGATATAAGTTATTGGTTCAGACATTTTTTTGCAGATCTCATGAAAAAGCATCCAAGCAGGATCGTAAATGTCTCTGCAGTAGGGGCAAGTGCTGGCAAAATAGATTTTAAGAAACTCACATCATTCACGACTGAAGCCAACCAGTATATAGTAACAAAACTATGTCAAATATTATTTACCATTGAATTTGCCAGAAGATACAAAAACACTAATATAACTGCTTATTCTCTACATCCGGGTGTCATCAAAACAGAAATTTTCAGAAATTTATCTCCGATTTTTAGATGGTTTATTTTGTTTTTGATTGACACATTTTTTAAGGTAAAATTTTATGTTGAATAAAGTTATATTATAGAGTTAAAAAAATTTTAAAGTGACTCTTGTAAGTGATAATTACTTTGTTTTAGACTGCAAGGGAAGGAGCCCAGACTCAAATCTACTGTGCCATAGAAAACGGGTTAGAAAAATACAGTGGTGAACATTTTCATGATTGTAAAATGGTTAAAAGATACAAAAGTGCTAGAGATCCATCTTTAGCAGAAAAATTGTGGCAAGAAAGTGAAAGAATTGTCAAACTTCGGTCTGTAGAAGATCAGATTTAGATTCAGGCTGTATATTTGTATATTATTGAATTTTAATATTCATTTTTGTAAATCTTTTTGTTTACAAATGACATTTGTATTTGAAGTGAGTAGGAGTTTTTATTTAGATTATTTTATTTCTATGCCATAATTATTGTACCTGACCACAACAGATAATATAATAAAATATATTGATTATTTTGACAGTGTAATTGAATTAAATAGTATCCAGCCAAAACAAGATGTTAAAGCCGAAACCGAATTTTGGTTGCTGTCTTAGTTTTGGCCAAAACTAATTGTGGTTTCAGATTACTTTGTGAATTTTAGCTACACTTATTACTTATTTATTTATGTTTAAAAGACTTTTAATTTATTTATTTTATTTTTAAAATTAAAAATAGTAAGTGAATTACAAAGTTGCAACTATTCTAGTTTCAGATTACTTTGTGAATTTTAGCTACACTTATTACTTATTTATGTTTAAAAGGCTTTTAATTTATTTTATTTTTAAAATTAAAAATAGTAAGTTAATTACAAAGTACCAACTTTTGCTATGTGTGTAGTGGAAAAATGAAAATTTAATTTTTTATGAAAAAGAAAACCTGAACGCCGCCAAATGTGACACAAAAGTAGTTTCGCTTTCAGCCGCAGTTTCGATCAGTTTTCTGCTAAAACTGAAACTTATTTTTGGCTGAAAACAAACCTTCGGTCAGATCCTACAATTTAAAACAAATTTTATTATTTTGGAAGGTTTGGACTTTGTTATAAAAATACATCTTTAAGGCCTACTGGTTTATTTAAAATTTTAACAATATTAACAATCTATTTCATGTTGAAATGGCTTAATGGATTGTATGTCCCAGATTCAAATTTTTAGATTGCCATAATTCTATTTTCCTCTTTAAAAGTTTCTTTTAGTTAATTAATAATATTAATATAAAACCTTGAAAAAAAAAACTAAAATCCAAGTCATTTTTCAACAGGAACCTGGCAATTATTACAAAACTTGGATTCTGGGAATTGCATCAACTTCTTTTTTTTTTTTTTGTTTAAACCTTTCAAGCAACAAAAGGTGTAAAGGTTAGCGATTTTTTTTAAATTGCATAAGAACTAGTAATTGGCACCAGATATGTATTTTTATATGATTCAGTTGATTTTGTCTCTCTTGCGAACATTCCTCTTCCTTCTGAACATTCCAGATTTCATTTCATCCTCATCTTCCCCTTGATCTTGGTACTCCCAAATTTTCAAACTATTTGGTAAATATAATAAACCTGCTAGGGTTACAGCTGTGAATATAAAAGAGTAATTACTTTTATACATCTTAAAATAACATAAAATAAAAGCATGAAAATAATTGGATTTTATTATTTGTGCAGTTGAACAAACTTTTTTCATGAAGCCAGTCAAAATCGACCAAATTTTATAAAAAAGTGTTTTTGAAGTAGTTTTAGAGGAGGGAAAGTGGCTCTTGCTATGTTAACTTACCATTTAGAATGCATGGAAAAACTACATAAAAGTTCAAAGTAGCAGCTCTAAAATAAATAGTTTCGGAAATATATAGAAGTACATTGGAAATTAGAGAGCATATTCCCATACTAACAACCCTAAAATATAATAAAAATGTTGGAATTAAATTAATAGTTTTGGGAACATTAAGAATGAACTTACGGCTTGTAGTGAATGTATAAAGTGCAGTGAATTAATACTATTGCTTTTAGAATCGAGTAAACTCCTAAAACTCTAGAGGCAGTAAATTCTCCTTAAAAAGAAATTACATATTGCTTACAATTAATTTGAGCTAATATCTCATTATAAATACCATCTACATATTCATCTAAATCTGATATAGTTTTGCTAAGGAATGATCGTTTTTCTATGTAACTTCTTACGGCCGTTCCGAGATCCATGAAAGCTACAAATGCAATCCAGCCTCTAAAGGCATACATGACTTTTCTGTCTACATCCATGTTGTTACCGGTTACGTTTTGTACTCGAAAAGAAAATATATGTAGCGTTTTATTTCAAACGTCTTTTCCATGCAGAGGCGGGATACATGCTAAAATAAATCAAATTTTAGTAAATATATTTTTTTTACATAATCACAAATTGACTGCAATTTTTCACTGCAAACCTAACCTTAAATGTCATTTATAATTTAACAATTTGGCCTCCACTAAAAAATGGTATACAGCCATTTAATTTTCTAGTTATAAAACATTAAACTTATTACATAAAGAGATATTATGGAGATGAATAAATATAAATTTCTTTTTCTGAATGGTTTTAAATATTTAAAAATTATTACTCAAATATTTTTTTAACTTCCTTTTTATTCGCCAGGTATCTCTACTTGCTTGTGTATTCAGCAAAATATTTTTTTTTGTTTTCCTGTCCTGCGCAAGCGGTTTTTAGGTTATTCCAATTTATTTAAATAGATTTAAATAAGTACCACTTAACACGAATGCAATTTTAAAAAGTGGTACACAGGTAGAGGTACCGGTGCAGGTCAAATAAATTTACATACCAAATAATTGGTAATGTAAAACCTGATTCACTAATTCCTCAACTTTAATTTTACTAGTGATAAAAGTATTATTATTATTATTAAAAATGCCCGAAGTGTTCATAATTTCTGCATGCAGAACTGCAATAGGTATGTCTTGAAATTAAACTTAAAAGAAGTATATTGTTAACTCAAAATCCCTTGAATTTTAGGAACTTTTCAGGGGCAGTTTGATAAATTTTCTGCCTCTGAATTAGGGGCAGTGGCAATTGCTGAAGCAATAAAAAGAGCTAGTTTAAAGCCTGAAAATGTTGAACAAGTTATAATGGGTCAGGTAAGAATAGTATGCTCTATTTTACCTACTAAAAAGTCATTAAATTAAGGGACAATAGCTTGATATTATGATCCCTAATCATTATTTTTAACTGTTATGTTTATTATTATTCTTGTCAATATTCTAAGGTAATCTATTCTGGATTTAAGTATATTATATTTTACTATACCTTACAGCTTCTTTTAGGTAGTATTTTTATAAATAAATAGCTAGTTAATTTTTGTACTTTTTTTTTATTAAAAAATTTAATAATTGTATATTTACTAGATTTACTAATGGGCTTCAAAGAAGAACATAATTTTCTTTTATAACATAATAACATAATAATCTTTTAGCTCAAGTTTTAACAGTGTGCTATGTCCTTTAATTTTACTTGTAATATTCTGTAAATAAATACATTTTCCCCAACATTAATTTTTGGCAGTTACCTATCTATTAATATCATAAGCATTTAATAATTATGAGATCAATCCATTTATAAATAATACTATTTTTATGGTTATTAATTCGTAATTGTTAAATGGTAAAATTGATTATGGACTTTTGGCCCAACAAATAAAATCAATATCACATAGATATTAATTGACATTTCTTTCTTATCTGTTTTTTTCAAGTAATTAACCATCATTTTAATGATTTTAAAAATATAGATCATAAACAAATTGACATTTTCATGAAACAAAACAAAAAAGTTCATGTGTTTTACATTAAGTCATGAATAATAATTCCTTTAAAAAAAAATAAGTATGGAATAAAATTGAATTAAAAATGCATAACTGTTAATACTTTAATATCCTATATTATTATAATAATTAAATTTATTTCATTGGTAAAATTGATAATGGAATTTTGTAACAATCTGTAAAAACAATATGACCTTATAGTAATTGACATTTCTCCCTTATCTGTGTTTTTTTAATTAATTAACCATCATTTTAATGATTATGTCTATAAAAAAACACAAAAATTAAGATGATAAAAATAATACCTACGCAATAAAATTAAATTTAAAAATGCATAATTATTAATCCTTTAATTAATTAATATTCAATATTATTGTATTATTTAAATCTAGTATTTCTTCAATTTGCAATTATGTACTTATTGTGGAAATGGGATTGGTCTTTTGTTATTATATTATCATCAGTGTAATGAACCATTTACAATTTAACATTTCTCAAAATAATTTTTCTTAACCATGGCCAGATATATCTGACAGAATCTACATTGCTGTTGTTGCCACTGTCGTATATTGGTCGCTATTGAAAAAACTAGATCTCGCTGGCATATATATCCGTCAGTGTCTACATTTTAGCATTCTTCAGCCCAACTGCCATATGAATACGTCATTTTTATAGTGATTTTAAACCCATTGACGCTTTCTTTAGTGCAGCGTTCCAATAAAGTGGTATTAGAAGAAGAATTTAGAACCAATGCCATATTTATTCATCATTACTTAATTCGTGGTGGGACAATGACTTAATTAAGAGAAGGGATTCAATAACATGTAGGTATATTGAGTGCAACGTGAGGCCCTGTGTTCATCCTTGTTTTGGAATATTCCATACCAAAGAACAGTACTAAAGTTTAAGGAAAAACATTCTTTATTTTATGGCAGATGTTGCACGTCATAGATTTATTATATATTTTTTTAAAGAATATTTGACTGTTTGATTATGTTTAAGAGTCCGTTTTTGTTTGTTTGATTATGTTTAAGAGTTTCTACTAAGTTTATTTATTTACGGGTAAGGCTCAGTTCGGTTTAAATACAATAACATATAATAATATACAATTGAATATAATAAAATACAATAAAATAGTGCTAACATAAAAATTAAGAAAACTATAAAATAAAAACGAAGAAAAATAATTCACATAACATATTCATAGGATTATTAATATACGCTGATCTTGCTAATTTTGGTATTTAAATGTATCATACATATGTGATAGTGGGCCCAATGGCAATTTAAAAAGCTTGGGAATGGTGGCACATGCACCATTCATAATGGTCTCTAAAGAAAAGGTTAATGAATAAGCATAACACCTTCATGTCAAAACTATATCAACAATAGGACAAGTAAATGTACCTACCTCTCGCCTGTATAAGCTATTCAGCTAGCTATATTTATATAAAGCTTTAAATCAGCGATACTCAACCTGCGGGCCGCATGTGGCCCTTCAAGCTTTTTTTGTGGCCCGCAACACTATTATTGGTCGCAGCGCTAAATAGCATGCTAATTTTTAAATAAACGTTTAATATTTTGTGGTGTTACTGCAAAAACAAGATAGCTCCACTTTTGGAATTTTCGAGTTAAGTAGGTACACTTTCTACAAGTGTGAAAGAAGTCTATATTCATGAGCGCCACGGCAAATAATAATAATAATAATAGCCGTCCCTTTCCCCGGAAAAGCTCAGCTTTTGGGGTTAAAATTCACTCGTAAGGGGGTGAATTAGGCAGAGTATTATTATTATTATTATTATGATAAACAGCCAATAAAAACTAACTCCATGTTAATACATTAACAATGTGGATAAATAAGATGGAGTGGCATTTATACCAAAACATAATCATAACATTGTGTTCAATTGATAAATGTGTCTATCAAAACCAGATAATAGGCATATAACTTATTTTTGCTAAATATATTTAGTCCAATTCTTATTAGTGTTCCTGCTAAAACAAGATAAAGGCCAGAACCGAGGGGAAACCAATAAGGTCAAAACGTACCCGTATTTCGGAAATCACTTAAAAATTTTTTATGTGTTTCTCGCCATTTCGGGTTGTGAGCGACGAATTTATTTCGACCATTATTTTAGATGATGATTTTGGAATTTTCGAGAAAATGTGTAGTGGTTTCGGTGATTTCTAGTGAAAATGTACCAGTATTTAGGGAGTGGTTTGCCGCTATTTATTTTTGTTGAATGTGTTTGTTGAAATATTACATTGTGCCCACTCCATTTGTTTTGTTATGACTAGAGCCGTCTCTGGCCTTTCTCGATTGTTCCGAAATTCACGAGATGATTACGTCACCCTTTCTTTCCACGATACAGCTAACCTTAAACAACTACTAGATAATAGGTCTATTCTGGTTTTGAAAAATAACGATCCACAACTGTCGGGCTCATGCGCAGTAGATAAAAAGTGTTCTGGTTTTTCTGGGACTACTTCGGATCTCTCAGTCCAGTGTTCTGGTTTCGTATCCGAAATAATCCGTGATTGTTGTAAACAGTCAAAAAGTGTTCATGCTTGGGAGTGTGGATCGACTCGGACTGTTTTGACCGCGCATGCGTTTTTGAAGTGTTATGAATATTGTATTGGCTTTTTAGACTATACGAAACGTATACAATCCCAAATTGTTTATTTATATGTGGACGAATGTCTCTTGTTCTTGTTTTATTTGTAAATTAAAGCAATTTTAGAATTATTAATTTTTTAATATTATTCTGTTTTTATTTATTCCATTGAAATGTGATGATAATGGTAAACATATACATGCAAATGTTATTTGAAGCTGAGCTTTCAAAAGGAACTTCATTATTATAATAAACAATAAACAAAACACCTTTATGACGTGTTCTGGTTTTCCAACAATTTCAAACAGTCGGGGATTTTTGCCTTTACGCATACGGTCCGGCGCAGTTTCAAAACAGTTTTCATTTTGAGAACCAGAACAAACCTAATAACAGGTGATGTTCGAATCTCCGTGGTGAATGAGTGATTGGTCAAGATGTAACGGGTGATTGGTCAAGCTGTAACGAGTGATCCGTCAAGCCGTAACGAGTGATCCGTCAAGCCGTAACGAGCGAATCTTTATGTGAAAATTCGTAAATAAAAGTATTAGGCGAATATGAATTTTAACCATACTTCCTAATAGACAACGGATCGAAAGATTCAGCTATCCTAAATACATTCCACCAGAAAAATAGATTTAGGGGCCTATTCAGTAACTCTGAACGACGTCGTTAATAGACGATAATCGTTCACAGACGACTTTTCTTATTCAGTAGACAACGATTGTCGTTGAAAATAGACAAATATGGTTGTAAAATTGTCGTTCATCAACGATAGCCAAAGAGCTGTCGTTAATAATATGAAGTGTCGTTATAGTGATTTTTGCATTCCCTCTCATTTTTCATTGTTTTAAATAATAAAAGCACTTTTTTACAAATTTTACAACTAAATTGCCATCTACCTAATACAGCAAGTACAATTTGTAAGGAATTTTTTTCTAATTTATTTAATTATTTTAAAAATAAATCTGATTCAAAATTAGGATTGCCCATTCAACCATTTACTATTCGATTCTTATTAACAGTGCTGTTCTTTGCGAAACAATAACAGAACCTATATTATGGAAGTACCTATAATACTTCTCCGTAACCTACACAAATTTGGTTTGTCTTTCAAATCCAATAAATACAACTTGTACTGTTCTCGAGTTGTTTTTTGTATTCTTATGGAATAGTTCTCAGTTTTTTTTAATATATCCATACTCATTTAAATAAACCCTACATACAATACGACCAGCAAAAATGGCCCGCGAGAAACAGAATTACTACGAATCGAGAATCGACCCCCTGATGATCGTGTTGTAGGTTTAAAGAACAATAATTAATATATTCTGAAAAACAAATGAATATATCTACTAGTTCCAAAAAAATGTCAAATATACCGGGTGTTCAAATTAAAGGGTTACAGTTAAATACCGCCTTTTATAAAAAAAAAACAAAGTTTTATAGTTTTTTGGGGAAAACATTTTGGCTAAAAATGTTTTTTTATAGCAAACCATAATATGGCCAACTTTTTTTCGCGCAGCAAAATTTTCAAGTAGGTGTTACTCAATAAAGTAGAAATCCAATAAAAAAAATGTTTCCTTTAGGGCCGATTTTAACACAACGGTGGAATCGGTCCTTAGAAGTTTCTTATTTTTTTATGAACTCTAAAAATACCTATGTAAAAAAATAGGGTTCCAATTTGAAAAAAAATCCACCTCGATATGGCCATATTATGGTCAGCTATAAAAAAAATAATTTGGCCAAAATGTTTCCCCTAAAAAACTATAAAACTTCTGTCTGATACTTTTTTTTTATAAAATTCATATTTTTGGCGATATTTAACTGTAAAACTTTAATTTAAACACCCGGTATAATCATCAACATACGTTCTTTTATCACAAAACACTAAATTATAATACCAACTTACTAGAAATCATCGTTCAGATTTGGTAACTAGAAACAACGTAACGACTTTGTTATTGAATAGAGTTTCAAAAATTATCGTTATAAAAGTCGTTGGTTGAACTGTCGTTAGCTTAACGATGTCGTTCATAAACGATAAATTACTGAATAGGGCCCTTAATTTATCAATGGGCGAGGGTGGGGAATTCGGCTTTATATGCCAAACTCGCACAGTATTTAGTCAGAGGAATGCATGAAAGGATGAAACAAAGTTTTGAAAATACTTACAAAAAAGTGCAAGATGATTACTAAAATCTTGCAAAATCAGATAAACCTGATGAATTTCACCATTATTATCACAATCTACCTGTATCCAATAATGTTACTGAAACTTCGACTGAATATAGTGACACATACATTGAATTATGATTTGTATGTAGAGCTAAAATAAGCTAAGTGACGTTTTTCTCTCTTTTTTACCAATTATTGATAGATTATTGGTTTATACTTTGTGAACAATGTTTTCAATACCTTCTTCATTGAAGTTAATAAACGGTTTGAAGCTTTTACTGATTTTTTTATTCAGTTTTAAATGTTTGAATAGTGTTTTATCGAAACTCTAAAAATGTGAGTTATCTTATTTTTGCAGTAACACAACGGGATATATTTATGTTTTGTATTTTATTTATTAGACGACCCCACTAACTAATCTTAGGTAAATGTCCTAAAAAAAGATCATCATTCAAAAATATTGCGGCCCGTGTAACATAGCACATATACGAATGTGGCCCGAAGGAAAAAAAGGTTGAGTATGGCTGCTTTAAATGAATGATCATTTTTATATACATGGTGTTAGTATATTAGACTGACAATGCTCTGCCACAGAGAGCACTCATTAATTGATAAATTTTGCTATAGCAATATGAACCCTTAAAGAGCTTAACTGAGATACAGTTTTAAATCAAAATTTGCCATAAATCAAAAAGGGGTTTAAATATTTTTTTAAACTTGATCTACCAAGATCTTGTCAAATACACGAACTATTAAAAAAAACTCTTAAGGGCAAGATGCACACAGTGTTACAATTGTTGATTTGGATGTAAAACAATACTTTTCTTAGTACTTAACTTAATACCATGTACAAGTCGACCTCGTTAAGGGCAATATTCATTGTTGCGATAGTTGATCAGAATGTAAAACAATACTTTATTTAGAACTTAGAGTTAACATTCACCCGAGGTAATTCCGAAACCTGAGTGGTACCGTTTAAACTGTTAATCTAGTATGTTAATATAATATGAGCATTTCTAATAATGAGAAAACAAATAATCTTGAAAAATAAATGATTAAAAATTTTGATATAACGATTATTCAACAATCCTTATCCTCTTCATTATTTTAACTACCCTTTCAGAAAATTATATTTCTAAAAAAAAAAATAGATAATAAAAAAACCAAAATGAAAAGTTATTACTAACATGACATGGGTGATTATATAAGGTCTCGACGCACCTCGGTTGACACCTTTTGAACCGTCGGGCAGACCTGGGCTATGAAATTTTATTTCTGGGACGCACCGGAGCCGTTTTACAGACCGCCGGACGCACTTCGTTTCCAGCAGCTTTCTGTATTCTTTATATAATAATAATATAATAATAATACTCTCCCTAATTCACCCCCTTACGAGTGAATTTTAACCCCAAAAGCTGAGCTTGTGCGGGGAAAGGGACAGCGATTATTATTATTATTTACCGTGGCGCTATCAGCAGTTCGGCCGGAACCAGTTCCAATGAACATCTGTAGAATAATGGACTTAGCCTTTAATGAAGGACTACTCCAAAAAAACAATCATAAACGCAGTTTTAAATTTAGTAATTTCTTGATTAATCCTGTCGTCTCTCATTTTCTTCATTTTATGGTCATTGGAGTCTGTTCCATACAAATTTCTAAGATATTGTGCATTCAAATTAGGTTTAGTATTTGAAATATGATTATAATGTTTTATTAAACTTAATGGATCTTGAATGTCCAGAATTTCGAAGGGTACACTAGATTTATTATTTTTGCATAAAGTAATTTCGGGATCCATTTATTGTTCCGCAATTTTGAATCCATTCAATTTACAGTACCAGTAAGATATACTCGTCAAAATGATATATTCTTCATTCTCTTTCACATAACTAATTATGGCTTATTTAGTTCTCTAACAAGAATGCAAAGAAGTGCAAATTCATCAAATTTGGATATTCCGAATGTCTTTCAATAGCTTTAATAAAGTTGCAAGAAATAAACTCTGTTTCATTGACATATTTGATATTTTATAATAAAAAATAAATCACTTAATACTTGTTATTTGACTGAATTAAGAGTTGGTGTTTGTTTTTAAAATGAAAGTTGCAAATTAATGTATTATCTTTCAAATTATATTTTTTTATTATAATGAGTAGTTTCTGAATGTTGTTCAATAAATAAAAAATAATTAGTCTGACTTCATGGTCAAGCATTTTAATATAATTTTGAATTAACTTGAATAATTAGATTATTTTTAGCGATTAAATTGCTTGGATTTAATTCAATCATTAGCGATTTTTGTTTTAATTATGGATTATTTTAAACTGTAATTTCTTTTTAAGATACTCACTGCAGGTCAAGGCCAAAATCCAGCTAGACAAGCCGCATTCGGCGCCAAAATTCCGGAAACATCGCCTGCATATACCGTAAATATGCTGTGTGGATCTGGACTCAAGTAGGTACATGACAAATATGTAAATATGCATATTATTAAAAAAAACTATTATCGTACACGACTGAAAATTGGAATTATTTTTTATTTAACACTGTCAATTTGACCTGGGTTTGACAATCATTCTCCGCTAATCTGAAATAAACGCAACTTCGCTTGGCTCTCACTTTTTTAAAGAACCACAGGTGAATTTGGATAATTTAAACTACAAAAAAAAACGGCAAAAAATTGGTTTTTTGTGTATACCTCAACAAAATTATTTTGTTCCAAATAAATACACAGTTACTATAAAAATTACTATCCACGTAAGTATCTAATAATGTAAAACTATCGACTTTTACAGAAATTATGGTTTTAAGTCTAATTATTATGTTTAAAATATCCGGGAAATTGTTGGTTTTATCCAGCCAATGTCCAGGACTTTTAGACATTAGTCCTTTATTGACTCCCTGATATTTGTGGTTCCTATTATTACTAAAAAACAATATATAGGTTTTGAAAATTCTGAAAATTAACATGAATTAAAGGATAAACTCAAATTTGATTGTTTTATTTCACACAATGGAACAGAAAAGTCAAACTACTTAAAAGTCAGCATTAGTGAACATTAACTTGATTGTTACTTATTTTGACATTAAACTGGTTTGTTTTCTTTTACACAGGAAAGAGTATTTATGTCTAATAGGAATAGGAAAAAAATTGCTCAACCTTAAACTTTCTCTAACCCCTATATAACACCAAAATTGTATTGAGAATATGAAAAAATCTTAAGTTTCCTTATTTAAAAGGCTGTATGTAAGGTCCCATACGAGACAAACTAAAGGTTATTTTAGGGATTATATATACCAGTAAAGTCCGTTACCAGAAAACTTTGTATTACTGCTTGTTCTAGTATTTGGCCCCATTCTATAATAGGTTGTAGCTTAGCTCGGACACAAAGCTTCTTCAAAAACAGTCAGTCTTTAGGTTTAACTGCAGAGAAGTAAAAATATTTTAAATTACACTTTGGAAATCATTTACTGGACCCATCAGACGCTATAAATTTTTCAATGCCGAATTATTTTATTTGATGTCGCCAAAGAATTTCGAGTCAGTCTATTTATTAAAAAATTCTTTTACATCTACGGCTTTATTCCCAATGAATATTTATAAACAACATCTGAATATTTTCTAGTTCATTTTAACGTGCTATTAAATGTTCGAAATTATGTTTATGCAAAAATTAAAAGTTACAATAATGAAGCAATAAAAATTGAGAAAAACAAATAAACAAAATTGAGTTTATTAATAAACTAATAATAGAATATGACAAACAAATGTCAAGAATTTGTTTTTTTAAATAAGTTTTAAATTTACTACTACAAATTTAACAAATATCTTTTAACTTTTTGTTTTGTATCACACAATTATTTAAGATAAATGTATTAAATATGCATTGTTTTATTTTGCCAGAAATGTAGAATGAATTATTTAATTATGGTTATGCCAGAGAATAAATAAAAAATACAGAAAAGAAAAATAGGGTTACGGCTAAAACCCTAACCATTGTAGCCATGCCTTATTGTTGGTGGAGCAGTATTAAAGTACAATAGAAATAAATTTATTTTTCGCAGTGTAGTTTCAATGAATAGTTCATATTCGCGTACATTAGCTTACCTATATGGTGCAGTTGAAGATCAGAGATTTCTATTCCTTCTACTTTAAAGTGCCGACCGTATTGTTCATTTATTCTGTGGTAATGTTCAGTAACCCCTTAATAACCTTAATCTTCAAATCCAAATTTGGTGGCGTACTGTACCTAACCTTTTCTGACCACCAATAATTATTTACATTTCAGAAGCGTAGCTCTTGGATATCAAGCTATTAAAAATGGAGACTATGAAATAATCGTATCGGGAGGACAAGAAAGCATGACAAGATCTGAACATACCGCGTACCTTCGAGGAAGCAAGATGGGCAACGTTAATCTCGCAGATACCCTTCTGAAGGATGGTCTTATGGATGCTTTTAATAAGGACACCCATATGGGCAAAACTGGTCAGTTTAAAAAAAATGCAAACCACAATTTCCTTACATTCTAGTTGAATTTGAATAATTTGAAACAACACATGTATATTCTTTAAGCAAAGGTGTGTTTAACACATACTTAGATTAGATTACTTCTAAGTAAGAGGTTTATAAACACTTAATACGGAGCAGTACAGACGAGTTCCATGCAGCAGTCAAATTGTTTTATTAGTACCTATGGAGTGTAGAGGAAAGGAGAACTATCTATCAGATCATATAAAAATGTACAACAAAATAAAAATAGGCAATGTTGTTCACTTGTTATTTGAGTAAAAAAAAAAAACATGAATAAGCTTTTGCCCAAAATTGAACATGTACATCAATTATTGCATGTAGATCTGAAATAGCAGCATGAAACAATAATTAAGGGTATTGAAAATCTAGAGGAACACCTGTATATTAGTAGAACTTAAGAGAATCAACAAGTAAAAAGAAACCCGCTTTTCATAGTCTGATTTACATATGGATTACATCGGGTCGGTGGTGTAGCGGTCTAACGCGCTTATATTCATTTATAAGCAAGTTTATGTGTCAGAGACTGCTGGGCTTCGAATCCCAGACCAGACCATGTGGATTTTTAATTAAATTGCATGGTTCGGTATAAGATTTGATGTGTGCCGTATTAATAGAAATTCAATTTCTGTTGATATGACATGCAGATTATAAAAAATCGCCATACATTACCGTCTCGATGATGGTGGGTGAGGTTTTCCGGTTTTTCCTCACCTGTAAGTCAAATGGTACCATTAATCATCTTTAAGTCGCCCCGGAGCGCCACGGCAAATAATAATAATAGCCATCCCTTTCCCCGCACAAGCTCAGCTTTTGGGGTTAACATTCACTCGTAAGGGGGTGAATTAGGGAGAGTATTATTATTATTATTAGCAATCTATGTGATTGGAATTTGATCTTCTAGTACACGAGCACCATTCTGGTTTCTTTCTGAAACCCTATTTACTGATTTTAGGTGGACACTTTTTGAGATAAACAACCATATTTATGAGATTGTCCGCCTTTCCTTTACACTCCATAATTTTAAAAGGCGAGCAAATTTTGATACAGAATTAGATGATACTTTTGCAAAATATTTTTTAAGGTTAAGTAGGTATGTCTATTTTAATAATTTATTGTGCTTACCTAAAAATTATTAATGATTGAATGATACCTATAAAAGTTTTATAGCATAGGCAGACATGTTATCAAGAAAATGCAGGTATCAAGTTTTATTTTTTTAATTTTGCTTTCTGTACCTGTACGTACACATAAGGAATTTTTATAGTACAATAACTAATTATTGTAACCCAAATCCAATAATTCATTACTGATTATGCTGTGTATATTTTCTACGTTAATATAATTATAACATATGTTTGGTCGTTTACGAATTTCGTAACGCAGAATCGCAATCGCAGTGATTGAAAAATCGCAATCACAGTTTTGACTGCGATTGTAAAATCGCGATTTAGCTCACCTCTAATGAAATTGGAGACAGATCAGTTGCATCACGAGTACTAGAAATTAGGCGACTTGTTTACTAATTAACTTCAATTATTAAGGCCGAGGGGTGAACCCACGGTGGCCGTTTTCCATGTAAATAGTTGGTAACCAGTTTGCTTGACCTCGACAGCAGCGCGCTAAGCGCGATATGATAAACTATAATTCGGTACAGTCGGTAAAGTAGAACACTACTAAGTAAAGTGATTTAAAAAATGGCGGGCTTAAAAATTTATCAAACTTAAAGCAAATTCAAGTAACATTTTCCTATTTTACAGCTTTTACTTACAATAATTAAAACGAATGAATTTTTATTGTAAGTAAATGCTGAAAACGGAAAATGTCACTTGTTTTAAATGAAAAATAAAATATTTGTAATAAGTTTATTTTATTTATAGAATAGATAACTATGTTATTACAGCATATTCACAATGTAAACACTATAATCACACACTAAATTATTGAAGCATTAAAATGTAAGATAACAATGTGACAATTATTTTATTATTAACAAAAACTGGACAATTTTTAAAAAACAGAATTATAATTTCAAAAAATTAAAAAACAATACTAAACAGTCATATCTATAATTATATATTGTTTTAAAAATCCCTAGTATTGACTTAATACACTTAAGACTTAAGACAGAAAACAATAGTTAATATTTGCAATTAATTTTACAATAAAACGTTATACCTACATTAAACTTTGAAACAATTTAAAATTGTTCTCCCAAACATACTAGCTACATTATCTATGTTTTTAATAAAAAAACAGGGCTAATACTGACATTTTGGTCTTAATTTTCTTTATTAAGCCAATCAAATTTCCCTGATCAATTCAATTTTAATTGTTTTATATTATGTATTATACAGTATGTCCCCCTAGGTTGGAATCATATGGAAAACTTTTTATTATTATATTATTAATTTTAGGAAAAAAGTTATTCTTCATAAAAAGTTCTACATTATCTAAAACCTAGAATACCAAACATCAAATTTTTTCAATGGTATACGAGGTTTGTCAAAAAATATGAGTTTTACTCAAGAGTAAAGTGCCTTTATTCTTTATACGACTGATAAAATTTGATATTTGATGGTTGTATTTTAGGTTTTAGACCATGCTCGACTTTTTATAAAGAACAACTTTTTTTCCTAAATAATAAAAAAGTTTTCCATATGATTCCAACCTAGGGGGACATACTGTAGGTATATGTAAAATTGAAAGATTGTTTTATGCCTGATTTACAAAAACTTTAAATTATTTATTCTAAATGTCTGTCAAAGTTTATCATTAAATTTTAATGAACATTCATACAACCGACTTAGTCAAGCATTTTGTTTCTGATTTATTCATCCATTAATGTTCTCAAGCTCTATTGAGTGTCCGGTGCCAGAGTTGCCTGAACATATATGAAAACCAGTTGTTTTGAAATTTTATTGGTTAACCAACTCTGGCACCGAACCACTCTTTTATCCTTTTTCCCATGTATTCATTTATTTCAGTCCAGCTTAGTTGTAATGCCCATTGCAAAAGTCCATATCCAGGGATATATAAAACAAAACAAAAAAATAAAGGTGCAGTGTATCTTAAAATTAAAAATCTGATGTGTCCAACACATGACTTTCCTATCTAGTTAACCTATTGCAGCATCTCTAAAAATGTTTAGAGGATAAACTAAATGTATACATTTTCCACATACATCTACTTCGAAACATTTTTCTATAGATATTCATTGAAAACGAAAATACTGAAAAATTTAAATTTAGCACTTTTCCTCCAATTTTTCCATTACGGTCCATTTTAGAAAAGTCATTTAAAAACAAAAATTATAGAGATCGATATCGCAAACAACTTTTAGTTTAACAATTTTCTTAAAAATCAGAATTTTGCACATTTTGTCAAATTTCTCGAATACGGACCATTTCAGGAAAATTTGACATGTAACAAAAATTATAGATAATAATATTGTAAGTAACTTTTATTTGAAGAATTTTCTTCCCCAAACGTAAATAACGAATATATTCCATAAAATATAAAAATGACCATCAATAAAGTACCCCCCCAAATGTTCCGACTCTGTCCAAAATCTAACCAGATCACGTCAGGTCGAAATAAAACTTAAGTTTAAAATTTAATGTTTTTTCCTTTATCCGTTTTTGAGTTTTCTTCAAAATTCGAAATTTACACATTTTCTCAAATATCTCGAATACGGTCCATTTTAGAGAAATTATGTATAGGATAAAAATGATAGAGAATTATATTACAAACAATTTTTATAAAAAATTATTTTTTTTACATTTTGTCAAATTTCTCGAATACGGACCATTTTAGGAAAATTTTGCATGAAACAAAAATTATAGATAATGATATTAGAAGTAACTTTTATTTGAAGAAATTTCTTTTCCAAACGTAAATAACAGATATATTCCATAAAATATAAAAATGACCACCTATAAAGTACCCCCCCAGATGTTCCGACTCTGCCCAAAATCTAATCAGCTCATTGGACGCTGAAACAAAGCTTAAGTTTAAAATTTGGTGTTTTTCTGTTTATCGGTTCATGAGTTATGCGACCTACAGACACACACACACACACGCCCACACACACACACACACCACACCACACCACACACACACACACAGACACACACACACACACACACAGACATCATTGCGAAAATAGTCAAAACGGATTCAGGGGACCTCAAAACGTAAAAATCCGTCGAAAACTCGAGGTCGAAAAAAATCATGATTCCTATACTTTCCTTATATCTGTATACAGATAGGAAAGTAAAAATTAACATAAGTATATATTATTTTTTAAATGCTCAGAAATATCCTTATAGTTTCTTATAATAAAAGGTACACAAATTTTCAATAATTTCAAAAAAATTAACACCTGATTTGTGCTCTTGGCAAGCGAACCATGCAAAATTAAAATGTTCTATATGTCCATATTTGGGTATTTTGATAAATATATTCATGAATAGTACCCAAAAATTGAACAATTTCTTTTTGAGCATAAATCAAATGCCTTTTTTCATATTTTTTTAAATGTGTAAACTTTTGATGAGATTCTACAATACCTGCTTGTAAATTATAATAATAATAATAATAATAATAATAATAATAATAATACTCTCCCTAATTCACCCCCTTACGAGTGAATTTCAACCCCTGAAGTCGACTGAACGACTTGTGTAGGAGAAGGGACGGCTATTATTATTATTTTCCGTGGCGCTCCGGGGCGACTTAAGGATGATTGATGGTGTCATTTGACTTACAGGTGAGGAAAACCCGGAAAACCTCACCCACCATCATCGAGACGATAATGTATGGCGATTTTATAATCTGCATGTCATATCAATAGAAATTGAATTTTCTATTAATACGGCATACATCAAATCCTAAACCGAACCATGCAATTTAATTAAAAATCCACATGGTCTGGTCTGGGATTCGAAGCCTAGCAG